TTCTACCAAATTGGCTGGTGTATTTGAAAATCACCATCATACTGTTGGAACACTAGCAAACTTGTACCTCAGTCAAATTCAGCTTGACTAGATTTTATCTGAAAACCTGTCTAGTACAGTGGCCTCGGTGCAAGTATTCTGATTTGGTGCCCAAACTCCACTGACAGTGGGAGAGATGGATTCTGTAAATGTTCAAACACATCTGTACCCTTACTTAAAAGGAAACAGAATAACTCCACAGGTATTTTTGGTGCCCAGCCAGCTTTAAGAACCATTGGAAAATAGGTGGCTGCCCTTTCCCCCCAAAGTGCCTGACTCAGTCATCTGTGGAAGAGCCTGGGCATCTGTAGCGTGGGCTTCTCTAGAGACTCTGATAGAAAGCCAGACATAATAACTGTGCAAAGGGATTTCATGCTGGCTCCATGTTCCCGAAGTTCCATGGGGGGAGTGCTGGACGGGACCACAATCGCTAGCCTTGAGACCCGCGTTTGCTATACACTGTACTCAGGGCAAAAATGGTTCCCTCGAAGCTTTTGCCGCGTCTACACTTGAAGCAATTACAGAAGATTTATATTTATTTGAATTCCATTGTTAGAGAATTTTTGATAATGTAGATACACAGTCATGGGCAAATGCAGAGTCCACTCCATAGGAGATGAAGAGGCAAGAGGCTTAGAGTTGTAGGTAAAGATTCAGATTCCGGTCCTGCTGACTTAGCAAGGGCCCCAACTCGCTGCCTGCGGAAGTCGTGGACCCTCGGCCCCAGGATCCTGATCTGTGTGGAGATGAGGGGAACGACTTCACAGAGCTGTTGCGAGAGGTGAGACTTGCGTATGAATTAGACTACGCTGTGAAGGAAGAAAGAAGTGTGAGCTGTTGTTCTTAACTCTAACGGTGAGAGAGAAAGAACCAAGCTTCAGGTTAGTAAAGTAGTGGTGACCCGTTAGCCCAATAGTCCTGTAGCAGCTAAACTTCGCCGTTCCCTTCAGCTACATTAAATGAAGCTCGTCCTCAACACTCAAGTTGAATGTTAACCCCTGTGTGAAATGTTTCGTGTCCTACTGGCAGTTTATTCTCTCCACTTGCACCTTAGCACGCACTAGCGATTTGATCTGAGCGCGTGGGTTTTCCTCTTCCCGGGATTCGAGATTTCTGAGGACCAGGGCTCATGCATCACTGCGTTACCCTAGATGGGTGTGCTTGGTGTGCTAGTGACAGGGATGACTGGCAGGAGAAGGAGGGAAAGGAAATTAGGTACGGATCAGAGAATAGGACAGGCCATTTAAGATATTTGGAGGTGTGAAGACCAAAATTATGGAACAGGGACCTTGTCTGTGTGGATAGCCCCCTCCCCGAGGTCACGGTCAGCGTCATGGTCAGTGCTGGGCACAGGGGAACGTGGTTCTGTGGAAATTAATAAGTGAAAGAAAAGAAGAGGCCAGCTCTAGGCAAAGGTTTCTGTAGGCACGGGCATCTCAGGTCACATTCCCTTTTCTTTGGTAGAACCCCGAAGTGCCTGTTAGCCTTATACCATCCCCTTGCTGCCTGGGGGCTCCAGTGCAGAATCACCAGAACCTCCCCCAAGGCCTGATCCTCCCCCACTGGTCATTTTAGAACCCTTGCTCCTTATCAAAGGAATGGTTCCTCTTCCCATTCCTGCAGGCCTGCCCCACGCGTCTCCATTACTTCCTAATTTAATAACCGCAAATCCCTATGAGAAATTATGGGTACTGAGGGGCCGCCTTTCACGGGAGTGAAGTATTTGATCCCAAAACACTTAAACCGAAGGATCGACCCAGCAACTCTGTCAGGCACTATGGGCGGCTGAGTAGATGGGTTTCCAGTCACCCTGTGCTGGCTCCTTCCCGGTCTATGAAGGGCCAACACTAGAGGGAGGTGTGCATTTCCTTGGAAAAGGCAGCCCTTGACAGACTGCTTGGGGGAGTCCTGACTTTATGAAAACCCAGTATCTTAAAGGCTTTGTGGACAAGTCAGCTGGAGATGCGGTGTTGCGGTTTATCACAATATGGACCCCTTCTTGGGGTGTGGAATTCATTTGTGCCTCAATCAAATAGCAGGATTCTGTAGTCAAGTAAGAGTCAGCACCTCTTCGTGAGATACTTAATTTCTCAGAACAGACCAATGCTGACAATCTCTGAGAGAAAAATACAAAAATCAGATGCGAGCCAAGGTATCTGCCTTGGTCTAACCCCCTTTATCTTACACCGGGTAGGATGGGAGTGCTGACTGCGGCCGGGCATCGGGGAGACAGACTGACAGACTCTTTCCTAGTCGGCTTTCCCAGGGCAGAGCCTAGCGGATGGGAGGTAACCTGCTGGTTAGTGCACTAGCTCCCTCGTAAAGGAGCTAAGGGAAAGGCACATTTTCCCTGTTGCATTTGAAATCCAGATCACTTTACTCACTCAATTAAAACTGCTCTTGAATGTTCCTTGGATAATTTCCCTCTGTATTCATAAGGTCCTCAGTCCTGAAGTTTCAGAGGAAGCCCACTTGGTTCTCCTCCACGGGCCAGACATACACTGATCTCTAGAGAAGTGGCATGAATCCTTTAAGAAGCCAGGAGTTGGAGCGATCATTGGCCTTTGAAAGGGTCTGATAACTGGATTTTCATCTCTGATTACTGATAATGTTTTTAATTTGGAGCCAGAGCTGTTCCCTCTGGTAGTAAGTGAAGTTTGAGCAGGCAGGGCGTGCTATTGTTCTAAAATGAAGTTCAAATTAGATTTTGCCCAAACAGGTACAGAACCAGGAAAACTTGGCTTCTGTTAATGCTATACTTTTGGCCAAATGTTCCTAAATTCTTGTGGGCTTTCACTTTCAGGAGTTTTACCATATGTGAGTAACCACCTGAAGGTTTATTTACTATTTTGCTTGAAATCCATTCACCGTTACACTTGAATAAATTTGTTTTACTGCCATAAATGTAAAACTAGTATTACTTGTCCTTAACTGGAGGTAATAAAATAAATACAATAGACAAAAGTTACTAAATTCTAGCTAGATAATATTGCTTGCCACAGGTTCTGAGCCCAAGGCCTGTATCCCTTTAATTGAAAGGCAGATTAACCTGGGCTGAAGACGTGCTAGCACCGCACCAAAACTTGCCTTCTGGGAATGTGATGGATTGGGAAAACCAAAAATGGAGACTCCTTTTTCCTTGGCTCGGTAATCGTTCCAATGCTTTTGATTCCAAGTGGTACTCAGCCTACCTTTGAAAAACACCGCCTTTAAAAAAACTCATTCCTTTACATTCAGTGTGAGGAATTAAGTATTCGGACTTGTGTGAAAACCTCTCTGTAGGATGTGATCAGAACACCACAGAGGAAGTAGATGGCACCGTCCCTACACCCAAAAAATGTGTCATCTAATAAGGGATGGAATAAACTCATATGAGAAGATGAATGTATAGAAGCACGAGTTCCAAAAACATGCAGTATTTCATACTAGAATGCGAGCTGTGAGGAAAGGAAACAGGTCTGTGTGTTTTGTTCACTCGTGGATCTGTTGCTACTGCTTGGCACCCAGTAGACAGTCAACAAATACCTATTGAGTCAAAGACTACAACCCCATTCTAGTCTCCCAGTGGTGATGTAACCCTACGGTTCATGCGTGGGGACTGGATTGGTGCAGTGTGGAGAGGATGTGGGGAGGCAAGGTTTGGATGGAATCTGGAGGTGATAAGAGAGCATGCATGCACACGCACTCACACTGTACCACACACAGTGGCTCGGATAGTACATATGAAAGCAGTGGTTCGTTTGACTAAGGTTGTTACCTTAGCCTTAAAAAGGCAAACTACCTCCCATCCCCAATTGGTGTACTCCTTTCCCCAGACCTAAAGCCATTCCCCTTCTTGTTTTATAAACCTCACATTTCAGACTGATATACACCCTGGAAAATGAGTTGTTTCAGCAAGATAAACCATCTTCTGTTACAGGAACAGCACCTATTTCTAGAAGTGCGGGTGTGACATTCAGAGAAACCCAGCTTTGTTTAGGTAGGTGGTCAGTTTACAGGTGCTACAGTATTTCCTCCCTTGTTAAGGAGGGCTCCTTAAACCTTTGCAGCTAAGCTGTGGTGCCATTTTCCACAGTTCCCTTTGCTGGTTTTGTTGTTGTTAAATGGAATCATTGCTCCTCTGGTATTAATCTGCCATCACACAATTTGCTGGTCTAGAAATAGCAAAGTCTCCGGTAGTATTTTTCAAGAATAAACAAGACAGGCAGACCAGCAGGATTATAAATGTGAGGCAATAAGGTGGGAGGAGAAAGTGCTACTGGTCTTTCTCAGTTAGCTCTGCCGTCGCGCACATGACCGCGGGCCACAGGGCGGGTCTCTCCATGAGAGGGGAGGCATTACTAAAGAGGCATCTCAGCTTCACACCGAAGGGATCTCTGGGGGCCGGCCTGAAGGCGGAGAAGGCTTTGCTCCAGCTCCAGCTGCACGGGCTTTGCGACAGGCTTCCATTTCCAGAAACATGATGCCAGGATTTTGGTTTGGGTATTTCCCACGTTGGTTATGTGATACTAAACCTTCAGCTCAGTTATACCCGGAGAATGTTTCTCAGAAAGCTCATTTTTTGTCTTCTTTCACACGAAGGCTTATTTTTAAATATGGCTAAATACGAACGTAGGCTGAACCATGAACCAAAAAGCAAGGTATGAACCTTAATGTACTGAACCTCAAACCTAACCTCATTTTCTAACTGAAATACAGCCCCCCCCTTTTTTAATCAACCTAGTAAAGTACTAGCAGGAACCAAAAATTCACATTTTCTAAACTAGCAAAGTCAATACCACAAAATAGTTTTAAACTTCAGCTTTGAACTAAAACCTCATTGAGTCTCTACCTCCGATGAACCTAGTTGTTGTCTCTTTTGGGAAGGGGTGTGCTCTGGGGCTCAGCTCCTGCCTCTGTTCGGTGGAAAAGGCTGAATTTCCATGTGAACTAATGAACTCATTCATGTGTTTGTCTTTCAGGTTCAGTATTTCTTCAAGATCTTGGATAACTAGCAGTAGAGAAAGCAAAGAAGTCACAGGCTGGAGTATTTAGACAAGAGTGAATCACGCACATGAGGAATGTGTTCATTCTTTTATTGTCCATTGTTTTAACCTGACTGAATACAAGATCAACAAGAGCACTGTACTCCTGGCAATTATTATATATGTTAGAACATGGATTTTGCACTGTAGACAACATTTAACACCAGTCTATGGGGTACTGCATTGCTTTTTATAAAGTCCAAAATAAAGATTTATTTTCAAACAAGTGACTTTGGTTTATTTCATACATTACACTTTTTCTTGCAGAAAAAAATAAAATTGTACAACTGCATAAATATAAAATTCTTCCACCATGAAAATGGTTAAAACATTCATAAAGACACAGCACCAGCATGTGATGCCTCCAGAGAAAGGAAAAGAGGAAAGTAAAGGAAAATGTACAAAGCAAATGAATTAGGCCTGTCACCAGCCCAAGTGACAGGCAATCCAGATCTCATACACAGCTTCAGAATGTACTGGAGGACAAGGGAAGAGATGTCAAGACAGCATTCAATACAAAGCACAACACAACCCATCACCTTTTTGTATTTTTCTGTAGTGTCACTTAAAATTTAAAGGGCAGTTCCCCCATGACAGCCCACCCCCACCCCCAGCCCCAGGAAAAAAAAACAAAAACAAAAAAAAAAAAAAAAACAAAAAGTAAAGACCTAATACCACAGGAAAAGACTATGGAGTGTGTTAAAAATGCTCATTGATGGGCCATTATTTTTGAAAGAGCCAAACCAAAAAAAATAATAAAAAGTAACATGCCAGTTTTATTCCCATTGACTATTTACATCTTGGACAGCAAACCTCGCTCACATAAAGTAGAAAACAGATACAATAAAACATGGCTTGAAAAATGACCAGAGTGTGCACCTACAGTACTGTACGCTAAATCAGATACACAGGCGGCAATACTCAGGGGCCAGAAACACTGCTTACTACGAGTCAGTTACGGAATCATAATTTACAGTAAAAATGGGCACGTCCCAAGGCTCAATTTTTATTTTCTCTTTTGTCATTTACAGTAGAATAAATATTTTGTTGCTATTGCTACACTTTAAATTTACATTCTAACCTATTAAATGCAGAAAGCTAGTGTAAAGCATATAGATTAAGTGTAGGTCCCATACGTATGACAGTTTATTCAAGACTAGTAGGTTTTTGTTTTTGTATCTTTTTTAACTTTTTAAATGGCTAGTGGGAAAGATTTGTGCTTGAGATCAGCTCTTAACTTCAATTTTTACATCAAAGCGTCCCTGAAAACGGTCTTTCTCACTGTACCCAATGTTCTCACCATACGCCTTACACTCGATGCGGATTTCAGTGTCCATGGTGAGGTTGGTGAACTGTACGGCCAGCAGCGGCTGCAGGTACTTGGGCTGCAGGAGCCTGCCGTAGTAGGGGTAATACTGCAGAGGAAATCCGGGGTAGCCGCCCAGTCCAAAATACTCCACGTTTCCAACTTTATCCTTATCTTCGTCTCGCTAAAAACCAGAGGGGAATGAGATGTTAATGGCTTGCAGCCCAGATCACTACTTGCCGTGACAAACGAGGCTCTCGATCCCACAGAGCAGTTTGCAAACCGCTGCTGCAGGGAGACCAGTGAGCCCCTGACGCACCCGCTCAAAGCCCCCCCAGAAGCAGCTGAACGCTAACCACCGGAGAGTCCCGCGGTGGTACGTCACACAAGAGCAACCAGCACACACTCAGTCTAACCCCTGGCAGCCGTGGCAAGTGCTCATAAAAGCAAACTGTTCTCTTTGTACAGAGTGAAGGCAAAGGCCAACCAACCATTTCTCCAAAGCCAACACACCCAGAAAGGCACCCACCACTGAAAGTCAGAAATCCACTGGTGGTGGTCCAGTGGAACCAAGCATTTCTCCAAAGCTAACACACCTAGAAAGGCACCTGCAAATCCACTGGTGGTGGCCCAGTGGATGGTACTTCAGCCATATTCCTTCCAAAAGTCTAACTCATTGCCTTTCACTTTCTTGCATCCATTTCTTGGTGCCCGCATAAAGCAGCACGGAGTAGAGATTCCCTTTCTTTATTCTGCCCTCTCTGTAAACAGTCCACTAGAAACCTATCTTTAGATCTAAAGGGAACATGTACTATTACCTTATCTTTCATTATTTTTTATTTTTATTTTTTCATTATTTTTTAAAGAAAAGCCAAAACCACATTTTTGTCAAAAAAAAAAAAAAAAAAGTTGGCCTTCAATTTTGAACACACCATGTGGGCCAGAGAAGCACTGTGTGGGCTAGATAGAGTTCACCTCTCAGTTCTATAAACCAATATTCCCGCTAATTAAATTCAGATAATTCAATTTCTTGTTCTGGTAGAGAAACTGACATGTGGTTTTAGCCTTGTTACATCTTTCTCTTAAGATGTTCTAACCCCATATAGCTATAGCTCAACTGCGACTAATGCCTGGAAGCCACGTTTCTCTTCTCCCATAGTCAAGTTTTACCTGGAACTGAAAACAGTCTCGTCTGTACTCCCCCCTCCCTCCCCCACCACCCTCAGTAAGAAGCGTCTCCTTACCTTGCCAGTGCACTGGACCGGCAGGACGTAGGGACTATACTTCATCATGGGGTAAGCCTCCAAGGACTCATTCTTGGGAGGCTAAAAACAAGAGCCCACACTGGTCAATAAGTTTGTGAGTAATTTTCTACATTTCTGATAAATGAAGCCAGCTTGTAGCATAAACAAGTACACACTGGTCACGGAAAGTCAACTGAAAGAACACTTGAGGGTAACAGAACGAATGACTCCGCTAACCAATCCATGCTGGGACTTTGGTTGAAATAAAAGTAAGTGCCCAAGTTCCGTGAGGCTGCAGGTAAGCTGTGACGCAGCCCAGCACGACAGGGCACTTCTAATGAGCTCTCCTCCAGGACACTGAAAAATAAAAGCCAACCCAGCACAACATTCCTCGTTTGCGGCGGTTATTAACAATTAGATGGAAAAGTTGGTTGACATTTCTGTTTTTATAAAACCTGGGCTTTCCTCCATGAAAAAATAATGCCATCCTTTTTTCTCCAGCAGGCCTTCTTCAAGTAGGCTTTTTTTTTTTTTCCTTTGAATCTCTGAATTTCCAGCAGAGGCACTGCCATGTAAGGAGCATCTCCAATTCAGTTAAGGAAGTCCAATATGTAAAACAGCTCAAGACAGCAAGTGCCCTCAAGGCAGCAGCCCCCTTCCACGGAAGGGACTCAGAGTACACTCTCAAAGTTATCGTTGTGGTGAAACATCTAGAGCGTTCCCTCCTGCAGCGCTGGCGCAAATCCACCCCAGAAGAGGTGTGATGAACACCCTTCCCTGGAAAGACAGCCACCTGCTTGCTTACTCAGATCAGCGTAGCATGTGGGTCTTGACATGAGACCGTCTAACCAAAGTCAGAGAAAAAGGGCAATTCTCTGTATCAGTAAGGAGCTAATATGTTTGACACTCTTTTAAAATACAAGAAAATGATCATCAAGATCTGACTCTTAGAATGTTCTACCAGCAACAGATTTATCTTTAAAGATACGGACAGAAAATACCAGAATCTATCCTGAGGGTGAGGAGGAAACAGGCATATTGATGAGATGTTGGAGTACCACAACCTCGGACAGAAAGAATTCTCACAACAGAGCAGGGGGCGGGGGGTGGGGGGGTGGGGGTGAGGTGGTGGATTAGACTGTGGTGATGGATAACCAAGTGGAGATCAAAGACAAAAGGAAACAAGGACAGAAAAGAAAGAGTAGCTGAAATCATCACTCAGCAGGCACCTCTACAGATGTGGGTAGAGATGAGAATCACAACAGGACCACCCCTTGGGGCAGAGGGGGAACGGACAACTACCACTCAGTCCCTGTGGAGAGCTATGACCACAAGTGAGGGCCTCAGAGAGCAGAGACCGGGCCTCGTCTTCCTTCTGACCACCACACAGATCCCTTCCACGGCCAAACAGCTGCTTTGTCCAGGTGAAGGGCTCCCGGGCAATCCGAGTACCAACTCTAAGTGTGACATAACGGGTCTCACCATCTCTCTTCCATTCTATCCTAACTTCCGTGGAAAGAAGATTACAGTTCTGTGGAGAGAGGGGTACGTTCATTTCTGCAGGAGGGCTGTTCACGGCTGCCGGCCGGGCCTCCATCCATCCTGCACACCCACCCAGTTCCGCCTCGGGTGGCCGGAAGGGAGTTCTGAGGCCTCCTCCAGTTATGTTAAAACTTTTCGTCACTACATCAATTACCTGTTTTAAAGAGACTCCTGGGTAACAAGCATTGTGGAAACAAGTCAAGAGCATGCGGCAGAAAACTAATGAACAAAAGAGCCAGATTCCAGAAAGGAGGTTAAGTTTGTTCCTGTAACTCAGGAGACTGTGTGGTCAATCCCTGTCAGAATGGAGACCCCGACTCGGAAGGGCTGTGTCCGACGGTGACCGGGGGCCCTGCGGCAGCAGCCTTGCTTCAGGGAAAAGGACAGCTCCCTTTCCCACGACCGGAGGGAGAACACGGAAGAGCCGGTTTTATGAAAGCAGAGGTAACACCAATACGTGTTTCCTTCTCTTAAACGATTACTCTCATCTCACCCGACGGCGCAGGACGGCAAACTGCCACCGTTCGGTGATCGCAAGGAACGTTCACCCGCTCGGCGGCGAGAACGCCCAGAGCCAACACCATGGTTATCAAAGCTCAACCTGAATGGCGTTCAGCTTCTACTTTTGCAATGAAATCGTCATCCAGTAAAAAACAAACAAACAAACAAAAACCTGTGTTTTCAGATTACCAGACAATTTTTTAAAAGTACTCTTGGGCTCCAAGAGTACCAAAACCTGACTGAGACTCTACATGCAGACAGTTTTTAAATTTGGGAAAATATCTTCTTCTGTTTTTATTTTCGAAGAGTTCACGTTGTAGAATGACATCACAGAAGTGTTAAGAACAGAGCCGCCGTGGCTCTGCCCCTCAGAATTTCTCTCACTTTAGGAAAATGAGATAAACGACCTAACTTTCAAGGATCTCAAGGTGGACACAGAAGTTTTCGAACTTTTCGACTTTTGACTGGGTTTGAAGTCGCCACTGAGTATACTTTAAATCTTCTTTACAGACAGACTCTCCTCACACCAATTAGCCATTTCATCCAAATGAGAAAAGCTCTTCTACATTCTAGGGTTTAAAACAGGACTTGCCTTAGGTTTGAAGCCCAGGACTCGGTTGAGCTTTATTATGA